CCCTCCATGATTTCTAAGTGGGAGAACTTGCAAAATCGCAGGGTGTTCAAATACTTCTGTTCCTCACTGTATAGAGTATGAACATAATCTCAAGATGATTTCTTAGACCGTCTGCTCAGTTTTCTGCGCATCCACCTATGAGTATTTTGTAAGATACTTTGCCTTCTAACAGATAAAATCATCTTAAGATATTTAATTTAACAAGCAAAATCTCTGGGTGACATTTGGGCAGCATTTTAAGCTACCTCCTAGAAACTGAAGTATGGGAAATTTCGCTTTCTTTTTAATAGTGACAGACCATGAGAATATTCTACTGAAGATTTTATGTGTACTCAAACTGAACACCTTAAAATGCAACACGTAAATTTTACATCCAAACGTTTTCCGCTTTGGCTCACGAGTTAATGCTCTTTGAAAATGTACCCAACCTAACCACCAACTTCAAAGATACATTTTTGTCTGCCTTGTCTGATTGAGTCCAAGCATAAACATATTTAGGAAATGATAAACACAGGAAACGATCTGCCCTTATTGATGGGTAGGATATAGAGTGTAGATACCTGAACCGAGCCTGACAGGGTCCATCGGTGCCCAAGGGTCCGGGTGGTGTTTAGATGTATAGGTCAAAATTTAGGCTAGATGGCTGAAGCACTCAAATGTCCGCTTCGTTTAATGATAACGGGGACACTGTACAGACTCAACTGTGTCAGTCTCAGACTTGTATACTACGTATAAGCTTGTTAGGTCCGGGTTGGGTTTGGATACCACACACTCGGGCACAGGTCAGGTTCAGACAGAGTTGTGGTGTTTTTATAAAAAAAAAAAAAATTCTAAGCACTCAAGTGGATGGCTAAAGATTAAAAAAAAACTTGAATAACAGACCTCTAAACAAAATGTTACATAAATGATAATGTAGAAAATGTTTAACCATACATGGTAACCGTCATCGACTTGAGTGCATGGAATTGGATTTGTTATGCCATGTCCTACCCATCGATGAGGGTAACCATCATATCTTTTTTTATACAAATGACACCTGCTTTCTAAAATAGATTAAAAAAAAAAAACAACGTATAGATGATGGGTTAAATGGATGCTCTGACTATAAAGTGTGACAACATTCTTGCGGTTCTTGTGCAAATAGCTGTTCAGCAG